ATATATATATTATATATACATATATATATAATATATTATAATAATATAATATAAATAATATAATATATAATATATAATAAAATATTTTATATTAAAAAAAAATTTTTTTCTCATTTTTTGAAATGGGACGATGCTGGACCCGCGCTGTTGACTTTTGAAAACGTTGAAAATGACGAATTTGTATATATAATATATATATAATATAATATATAATATAATTATATTATATATAATAATATATATATAATATATATATATAATACATATATATTATAGCGTTATCATACTATTCATATGAAGCCCATAGCTATCAACTGTCTAACCGCGAGGGTAAAAATTAGGTACAGCCGAGCAATTTCTAGATTGGGGCTGGTGAATGGCTTGAAACTTGGGGAGAAAGGAGCCTGTGATATGTTCCCCAGGAAGATCTGAACATCGTCATTTGAACTCAATTATATACTGCTCTATATCAAATGCTAAGGCCATGTTGCGAAAAAAGTTTGTAACATTAATTCCATATTAATTTTAAATCTCCATGTAACACAGGAAAAATTATTAGCGCTTTAAGCTCGAGGTATTCACGATTTGCACTTGTAAAATTGATATTAAAAAATGATTTCCTTATACTTAACGGCCATAAACTAGCAATGTATCGCTAGATGGGAGAAGTGGCCATATAATATATTTGTTGGTATACCTTTAATTGTAGTGCAATATTCTGCCTTTCTTTTGATTTAGAAATGGAATGTTGAGGTGATGATTACTAAGATATTGGCGATAGGTTTGTAAACATGTCTGTTAAACATCGTGAGAGACTTGAGAAACTAAAGCAAAATTCATTGAATGATTCCAAGAGCAAGGTGAGAATTACTGTCACGGTTGTAATAGTTAAGTTAAAGCTAAATAGATTAATACTAGTTTTTATTTCTAAACTTTTGCGAGACTGGTATGATGTTTTGGCATCGATATTCATTATTTTTGTGATGAAAATGAAAACAGGGATGTACATTAGAAAGAACCAAATTGATTATCCATATAATTAAAAACAACAAATGCTCGTAGTAACATTACACGTATAGCTAATAGTCAAGGCCCTGAATATGAGTTGGTATGCATTTCATTTAGAACAGGTAAACTGAACTGTTTAGGGTGAGTTGACAATGGCGGTCATATATAATGATAACGCTGCCCGAACCATAATGCAGGCAAAATTGACCACACCCAAAAACCGCACATTCACTATAGTGTTATCTGCATGCCAACAAAAAAAGCTTTGACTAATTTAAGCTTCTTATATGGTTCGGAGGTGCTTTTAGGGGTGGTCATTGGTAAATACAAAATCACTAGCAAGCTAGCAGTAATACTTAACAAGTAAAGGACCATGCAATACTCATGCACAAGTGTTACATTGTGACTTACAACTTCAAATAAACAGCAGTGGGCTTAAACTGCCTTTTTCCTCAAATCTTCAAAATGCGGTGCTATTGTGTCATGCCGAAGAAGGGGCAATTTTGTTTTAGACCAATCAGCGAGTTTGTTTACATTTTCAGTAACCCAATCAAAATGCATTGATTTGACTACTTCCGGTAAGAAGGTACATTTACATGCTGAGGTACATTATATTAAAAATTTAGGCTTTGCCTGAAAAATGTGAACAAATATACCAATAAGTTTAAAACAAAATTCAACTTTTTTGTCATCCCGTGTCGGTTGTTATAAATTCCGCATAATTATTCTTCAATCAAAGGCCTTTCAACAAACATGACCTTTATAAAGGACTTGAAATTAAAAATATGAAATATGACAAATACAACATTTAACCCCCAGTAAAATTATTGATTATTTAGTAAAAATCACTTTGCAGCTAAGGCTGAATAGCGTGAATTTTACAACATTGCGGGAACCAATAAAAACATGTGAATTACATTAGGTTAAGAATTTTATATTACGATTTTCCTAGCTAATATGCAAATACACCCTTTATGCATGCTTCATCGGTACATGTCATTTATGTTTTAGTATAATAAGATATCCGTTACCGTATCTGTAATATATGATCCTTTTTTCGAAAAATTATACAGGCATGTGCAAGTACGTTTCGGTTGTCAAGGTTTAGGTGAACATTTTCACATGACGAGATGGATCGAAATGCTATTGGCTAGCTTAAGACACGTGCTAAAATGTAATTGCCTAAAAAAAATAAGACAAGAGACTGAATTGTTAAAATTATCTGTGAGGTCATTCCGTGCGTCTGTCCTCTTATAAATCATAGCTATCGACCAATGAATTGCTTGGATTCTTAACGTTATTATATAAAAATGTATCTCTATCTGATATTACACGATAACCATATTATATGATTCCTTTATTAAACTTTGAACTAAAGCTAAAAATTTATAAAACTACCTTGGATATTTTAAACTCACCTCCTTAATGAAGTAAACAATTTAGGATACTGAGTAGTCATGTGTGTTTTTCCCATAGGCTATATCACCAGTCAAGCATTTTCCAGGGATCAATCATTTTTGCTCGGGAGAGGTTCTGGGGGCACGTTTGTTTATCTTGGTCTTATGGAAGATGGGAGTGAAGTGGCTATTAAAACAATGTTACTACAACCACCCCAGAAACAGCAGAGAATGAGAAAAACATTCTATCTTTAATTCAGACAAAGAATTCCCGATTTGTTGTAAACTACCGACACTATTTTCGAGACGAGACTTTCGTATATCTGGTTACTGATCTTTGCGAGGAAACGCTGAAAGACCATGTTCTTTCCCGAAGTATAGACGACCTTAAAAAAAAAGGTCGACGTATGATTAAGGAGATCTTAACTGGTCTGCAATTTCTTCACGATCAAGGAATTTTGCACAGAGACCTCAAACCATCAAACGTCTTGGTCGACATTGGGGGTCATATGAGATTGGCAGACTTTGGAATAACGTGTTTTGAAGGCAGACGAAACTCAGTTTATACTAATGCAAAAGGAACTCCAGGATGGATGCCTGCGGAAATAATTGAAGCAATAGGTCAAAAAGTAGAATCTCGTTATAAGAAAAGTCTGATATTCAAGTTACTGGAATGATTGCATTTTTCATTCTTACAAAAGGTGATCATCCATTTGGTCCCACTCATGATCGCATGGGAAACATTGTGAAAGGAAAACCTGTAAATTTAAAAGTTCTTAATGATAAAAGTGCTCGAAAGTTTGTTAAGAAGTTAATCTGCCATAAAATTAAAAAAAGACCGTATGCCTGTGAAGCATTACAGTATTCTTATCTTAACGAAGCAAAAGATGATGACGATGATGAAGATGATGATGACGATGATGATAATGATGATGTTTTTCATTTTCGAAATATAAACATGCGTAACTTATCTATTGAAGATTATTTCTTAAATCTTCTGGTGGAAGAACATAATTAGAGCAAGAATATTGACAAGATTATTGACAAGAAAGAGGAAGAGATCTTGATTAGGGAGCTGGCAACTGTGCTTTTCACCAGTTAGTGACAACTGTGCTTATCACAGGAAATTTATATTTATCCTATTAAAATAGTAGCCAGAATTCAATTAGTTGCACAAGTGCATGGGTAGTAATGAATGCTCCAGACCAGATTTGATCAGTATAGGTGCGGCATCCGACTAAGAGCGATCACCAAAGAAAGAAGTGGCTGTGACAGCGTTGCTTAGAAGTACATACATACATAATAATATACCGAGTACAGCAATGTAATGTCAATGGGGAGCTATCTAATTATAAAATTATCACCTGTGGAGTTCCCAGGGTTCTAGACTGGGACCACTACTATTCTTACTATTATTAATGATTTGCCTGAATGTCTAAAATGAACCACTCCAGCTATGTATGCGGATGATACTCAAATCTTTTCATCCTCTTTTGATGCAAATGAACTTATTATAAAATTAAAATCGGATCTTGCCCATGAATGTAGCTGGCTTAAAGAAAACAAGTTGCAGATGCATCCATCCAAAGGAAAAATGATGTTTATTGGTTCCCCATATAACATTCATAATTTGATGTGTGATGTACCCGTTATGGCTAATGCAAAACCCATATCACGAACTACTACACAAATGTGTTTGGGGAATAAATTAGATGAAAATCTTAACTGGGGTAGTCACATTGAAATGATATGTAAAAAGGTGAGTGCAGGGATTGGCGTTATGAGACGCATAAGACCCTTTGTTGCTAGACATACCCTAGAATCTGTTTTTTTAAAAGCAGCCTGACTTCGATTACTGATCCCCTCTGTGGGATACTTGTGGTAAGCTGCTCAGAGACAAGTTGCAAAAATTTCAGTTTCGTGCAGCGAGGGTCTTAACAGATGCAAAATATCATACTTCATCAATCGATCTTCTTAGTAATCTTTCTTGGGACACACTTGAAACTAGATGGTCTTGTGCCAAGTCAGTATTGATGTACGAGATACTTAATGAACACACTGCGCCTGCTCTTCGAGAGTCTTTTGTGAGCAGAGAAATAGATCAAACTAATTATCACCTCCGAAACTCTGCAACAAACCTAAGTCTCCCTAGGCCGAATCGAGAGTCCCTTGAAAAAATTCAAATAGCGGCGCTATGCTTTAATTGGAATCGGCTCCCAGACGAAGCAAAATCAGCCGAGTCGCTTCGTTTGTTTAAATCAGTTAACGTTGTTGTTGGACACTGAAACGCATCCTACTTATTCATATAATCTATCTATGTGTGAAACTGTCTGTGTGTAATTGTCCTGTTTTGCAGTCTTATTAACTGATTTTAATACTTAAACACGCCCCTCATGGAAACCAGCCTAGAGTTAATGGGACTAGCGTGTCTCTTGGTTTTAAATAAAGTTTTACCTACATGCCTACCTACCTACACAAATATGTCATTAAAATATTTGTGTGCATGAAAGCCAAGCTTCAAATATGTATGGAAATTGAAGGACGCTAACGTCAGGATTAAATTTGACATGGAAAATAATTATAATTATAATAATAAAATTGACTTCAAGTTCATTGTTATTGAGAAGAAATATGGCTTTAAATCATTTTAGTTCAAATTGGTGTTTTACAAACTATAAAATGCCATGCACGAACTATAAAATGCCACGCCATTGGGAATGCAAAGTACCATATTCAGCAGTCACAGCATCATCGCTTTTTGACAGTCGCTTTGAACCCTACTTTGCAAGATAAGAGTAAGACGGGTCCTTCTAATTGACCGTGAAGAAAAAGGTGGCGGCATGTACATTTTACCAGAATGCATTGCGGGCATTGACTGAAAAAAGAGGGCAAGAATAACTCCTAATGACTTGAAGTTTCAACACAGCGAACAAAATAACTTCTGTTTTGCCTGTCCTTTAAAAGACGTCAGTTCGTTTTTTTAAACGATTTCCGACCGCAATGCATTCTAGGAAAATGTACATTCGCCATCTCTTTTGTTATGGTCAATTGTTCTTGGACAAAAACATCAACAGTTGGGCTTACTCCAAAAATAAAGTATAATGTTCAATTCCCATCTAAATTAACCCCTAAAGAAATGCAAAAGTTTGCTAAGGTTAGGGATTCATCCACGATGGTGGAACAAAGCGGTGGTGGCGCCAAACCATGCGCAAGGCTAGTTGATAGAAAACCGTTGATTTATTTCTTTAGATTTTTCAAGGAAACAATGATCCAACAACAACTGTTACCCACGCATTTCAAACTCATATCAAATTTCAGTACATCTATGATGAGGCTCGAGTTGTTAGCTTGCCACTGATCATGAGAATAAATAACCTGCATGTAGTGTTTGAATCATTGTTTTGAATCTTTGCTGAGTAGAGTACCTGAAATTTAGAATAAAAGCAGTATTACTTAATGTGCTTGTTTTGCTTGAATTATATCGATATTGCGGCCTACTTTAAAAGTTTACGTAGTCGTATATAATTTGAACATGAATGAGGGTAATGTAAATTTCAAGTAATGAAACTTTTACATCGTTGAAACATTACATTGTTGAAACTTAAGTGTCCTTAAAACACTCGGAAATATGATAGGATGGACTGTGCATGCATGCATGTCTGTTGCGTTTTCAGATCTGGTGATTGAAACAGCTCAGCGGCTATTCATTTCACTGATTTTCCTCTGAGCAAAAGGATTAAGGTAGTGGAGCTCTTGAAAGACCGTGTAAGTATGTTTTTATTTTCCACGCACAGGGCGATCTCATCGCTAAAAAAGGGAACCATCAAAATAGGATATTGTCGGAATTTTACTGATTTAACACTGATCCTAACAAAAACATTCGTATCATATTCAAACCTATCTATAGAAGGTGATTTCATTTATTGCGTATATATATGAATCTGCATTGAATTGATAAAATTAATTATATATATATAGGGCCCTTGCAGAATATATATGTATAATTATATAAAAAATTGCTAATGATTGTATGGTTTGGGTTAATCTTTTAAGATACTATAATATATTTTACAATTGCAGACAGACAGTCGGCATCTACTGTTACTATACACAAGCTCGCTCTCGTGAACAAAGCAAAAGAAGTATAAAAGCAAAATAAAGTATAAAAACAACGAGATGGAATTTGACCTCACTCATGTAATGATACTATACTGCCTGGTCTTGTCCTCGGCAATTAACGCCATGGTTCATCGACCATATTTTCCGCGAAAAGAAAATACAGGTATGCAGTGCATGAAGTAAAATAAAACGTCGTTTTCACTTGTGTCTTAAGAATATAAGCGTAACGAACTATCAAAAGGCAAAATAATGAAACGTGTGCAATGAAACATGAAACACAAGCATCGACATTTAAGCATATAAGCTAACACAAGACTTCCAACCATAATTCAAAACGAGACAAAAGAAACTTCAGATGATTTATATTTCATGCTCGGTCTTTTTTGTCCATCTATATTTTCTCTAATGCTTTTGTTATATTAGTTAAAACTAGGCACAACAAACTAGTTATTTAGTGGTTAGCCGATTGAATCAAGTTTTAATTCGTTGGTGCACATTTATGTATAGTGATTATGAATTGCGCGTGTATAAGCTACTTACAATACATAAAGGGTTCTTCAATCGCATTGCATGAATGTGCATTTACAAAGGCGGGGTACAACAATGAAGTTTCTTTTCAAAAACCTACCGATCTTTTTCCAACAGCTGTTGATGCAGTGGTGGGTATCAGTGCATGCCTGACCTGACCAATATAAATATATTATATGTAAATTGTCAATTGTCTGGATATTTTGTTCTTTACTCAGCTTTAGATGCGGTACTTCAAACCTTCTTCAGAATTTTGGGGTTGATTTTGTATATTTTTTTAAATGTTAGCATGCTATCAAAATAAATGTTAGCATAATATCCTATGTTATGACTGATCCGTCCCTCCCTCCCTAACTGCGTCCCTACCTCCCTCACTCCCTCTCTCCCTCGTAGTTGTCACTTTGAGGGGAATTTCTTTGAATCGTGAAGATCTTGATTGCTGGGAATCTATGTAAAAGTCGTGTATATTTACATATCGCAATTAACGCGTTTCTATACTGTGCGTGCGTACATATGAAATGCTGACGACGGCATATGGTGTGCGCGGATGCAAATTACCCGACTGCATACACCCTCATGCAGTCGTTCAAGCATTAAATTATATACAGCGAACGTGAAACACTACGGCAAAGCTGAATTTGCTGCTTCTCTAAATACATCAGAAAATAGCCTATTGCTTTCTTACATTATACTGCTGAACAGCACAAGTTTTATGTAGAACGTTTGTATAATTTAGCGAAATTGCCGCACACCTAAAGATAGTGAAGTTAGAATAGAAACTTTGTTAGCGGTTTGGCGTTTGCCGTAAACGTCAAACTAAAGGTCTCTAATGTCGGGTATTTGATATCAATGATATATTAAAAACACTGCCGATTTTTCGAATCTCTACTTTTTTACCTGAATATCAGATCTCATGCTGTGCATCGAGTATTTTCCCCCACTCTAAGAGTCGGAAATGTGGGAAAAAGGATCTTAAATTACTGTTTAGTGGCCAGCCAGCCTGCTGTTTCCATGTGTCGTGAACATGTGAAGGTAGTTGATGCATGCGAGTCAGAGTCAGAAATGTGAATATATAAAAATAATCATGTGCAGTCAATAATGATCGATTTGAATGCAGAATAAGAGACAAATTTCCATCGGCACTATTTCCCATCAGTGAATAATGAAGAAGCCTTGTTCACGACAATTACGATTAAATGGAAACCAGGCTTTAGTCTCGCCATGTAATTTTAACTACTTATTACCATCGTTAATTTCTTAAAAAATTCCCCGAATTAATTAATTTCTTAATAAATTACCGAGTGGCTTCGCCACTAGCACAAACATTGTATAAACGGCCGGTTTCGTGATATAAGTGTACATTGAGAGCAAGTTTGTATCCACGACAAGCTAATAAAATTATGCATAATACACTTTGCATATGTTTTGCAAGTTTGCATATGTTTATTAGCCTCTTTACTACACGATTTGCTGAGCAGATGCTGCCAGATAGCTTTCGTGTCCGGCAGGCTATGAGTCTTATAAATTCATTATAAGTTTGTATTCATGAAATTTAAAGGTAAATCGCCAGTAAAAGTGAAATTGGCATGTCCAGTTAGGCTGCATTACAGGTCAGCATTGACATTCGCGAAGTTAAGGCGGCGCACACTAGAGCTATGTCAGGCATCTTATAATTCTTAGCACAATAATTTACGACAGAGTGCATTCACATTCGTTTATGTTTCTATTTTTTTAGTAAACGCGAGGCAAATCGCTGCACAAAAATGCAATGGTCTTCCTGATCTATGCGAGCTACGTATCGATCAAGTAACATTTGCAGGCAGTCACAATGCTGGATCCGGATTTGATGGGCGTCTCCATTGGTGGAGCGGCGGAGCGGCACCTTCGTGTTTTTCGTAACCATGGCAAAAGTTTCTCGGAGCAGTTGGAGTATGGTATACGTTACTTGACATCGAAACCTGTTTTGGTGAAACAGAAGCTTAAATTGCCACTGTGGCAAGAACGTCTGTGCCTACGCAGGCTCCATCGAAAAGGTCTTAAACAAATCGACAGTTGGATGCAATCTCATCCAAGTGAGGTTGCAATAATCCACTTCAACAGCAATGTGCAAAAAGGTTATGAGAAGAATATTTCGCAAAGCATTGAAAGCACACTGATGAAACTGTGGCCGCCAAATAATTCGGAAAGCTGGCGATGAGTGGCTACTACATGACCCATGGAAACTGGCCAAAACTCAAGGACCATACGACCAAACGAAAGAATTTTAATTTTCGTGGCTTATGAACTATATCAATACATGTCTTTACAACATAAATGGCTTGTGTTGAGCTTCGGGCAGATTGTGTCAACCCGGGATACGAATCCAGTGATCTCGAGCTGTTCAGGCATAACCGAACAAGCCAAAGAGAAATGTGGCATCCCTGGCTCGTTTTATACATTCATTGAGTTTCGGCTTTCGGGAGTTATGGCAAATGTATTTGGGACATGGCGGAGACGTGTTCTTCCTGGTTGGGTGAAGCAGCATTTGAATGCTACAATTTGAGGAAAGGCGGGATTTGACGGTGAATTTCTTGCTTGTGGATTGGGTTGATTACTTCGCAGGCGGGGAATCTGTCATCAACAAGGCGAAATTCATGAACCAGAAGAACATCCAAATGTACCTGGGCAAAAGCATCTTTTTTCCAGAACTGTCAGGTTGTGCATATCATTCTAGTTCGCATTCAAACTACTGCTGGAAGTATTGTGCCAAGTATGGATGGTGTTGGATAAATGTAAAATGCGGTGAGGATCCCGATGTTTGCAAGAAACAAGACTACCGTGTTACTCCAGCTGCGGATACTGACTATACTGAAACATTTACTAATATTTTTGTTTCCATGTGCTCCATTGCATGGTTGATATAGGTCAGAAGTCGTAGGTCATTTTATTGTTTAAATCTAGTTAGCATTATAGCGTTAGTAAATAAGCTCATTAACCATTTGAAGTGTAATGTAATTAGTCTAGTGATCGTATGTATGTAGCCTGAGAAGATCCTGAAAAATATTTCAGCACCATCTTTTCATATAGGCATTAATAAATGGCATAAAATATGTTCTGTGGAGTGCAGTTAATCAAGGGCGCCAGAACCGGGACAGCTCACAGCAGGGGCATCTGGCGCCAACATTGCCCTTTACTTACATAAGTAAGCAGGGGCAGCCCTGTGTCTATTTGCTACTATGTAAGTGATGTAACAGTACCATACACTGTTATCATGAAGCCCTCTTAAAATTAAAACTACCGGGAATGCAGGTTCGCGGGTATTTGTTAAATTGCGTTTCCTCTTCGTCTGGTTGCAAAGGTAAAATGAATGTGTCCTTTTCTAAGGCCTAAGGGCCTGTTCATGTGCGCAAAAGTTTCGACAAACCAACTTGTTTTGTCCTGTTCATATGACGAAACTCCATCCCGCATTTCCCCGCAAACCGGGTAAAGTTTTCAGCTGTGACGTTACTATTCCTAGTTGGCCGAAGTTGGCGACAACTTAGGAATTCAAAGAAGATGTTTGACTGGGACAGTTGAATAAAAGACTAGTTACTTTTATTGTAGTTAAAGACAAAATTAGCCAATCAGAGGACTGTATTCAGTCTGAGTTAACTAGGATTTAACAATGCAAAATGTAGTTAATTAAAGAGTTTTATACAACCGACCCCGGACAGAATAAATTTGCTGTAGTGGGCCTAATCAGCTGTAGTGGCAGTAGTGCTGAATAGTATTCAGGTCAATCCGTGAATGAGTCAATTTGGTAGAGAGTGATAAAAATGCAGGGTAATTAAAACATGATATTATGAAAAATACTATACTTTTTCACTTTTACTATCAAGGCGGACACACACCAGACGCGACCCGCCAACGCCAAACGATTTTTATGAGTTTTCTGTTTTCGGCTACCAGCTTTGGCAATGTTGTGATATTTTTGGCAATTACTGAATGATAGTACATTTTTACTGGTCTGGTACCCATATCTCACAAATTTTTCTTTCAGAATTGAATTTTATATATAATATTTGCTTCTGAAAATGGAAAATTTGCATCACGTTAGTGTACCTTGATATTGCCTGCCAACAGAAGTTAGTATGGAACATCTTACATGAAGTATCGAGCTTGATATACAATATGGCTGGCGAGGAAGTTCTGCTTATATCAGAACATGTGAGATATAAGAAAAATAATGGGAAACTTATGTTGCTTTCTGATAAAATAATGTGGACAGCGGACGGAGCGGATAAACCACGGCTGTGCTACGTTTATTCCGATATCAAAGGTAGGAAATACACCAGTCTCTGCCACTATTAACGATGGCGGATGCAGCATTTAACAAATTGCTTTGATGATATTAATAC